CAAAAAATTGAAATTACCCAATTTCAAGTAATAATTAAATTAATATTTTCCCAATATATTTTTTACTTTAACATGACTATAACTATAGCTATATATACATATATATATACATACGTATACGTATGTACATACATCATGCATACATATATTTTACGAGTTTATTCGAAGAATCTGAAGTCCGGCACATGAAATATTTTCAAGTAAAAATTAAATTAATTATTTTTCCAATATTTATTTTTTACTTATCTCAACTTGCTCAAAAGCCCGGCTTGGTATGATTATGACTTAATTAATACATGTATATTTAATTAATAATAAAATCATTACACGTGTATATATATTTATATGGTTCTTCGTCATTGAATCTCAGTTGCAAGCTTGAATTTATATATATATATATATTTGGTAAGCTAGCTTAGCAAACACAGGCAATTAATATTACAGGTCAGTGACAATGTCATGCGACGTGTGTATTTAATTTATTAATTACCAGTCAGATATGCGGTGTATCTAATTGCATACATATATATAAATGTACATGTATATATATGGGTGAATGCTTAATTTTTATGTCTCTATGAGGTATATATATGTATATATATATATATATACATCTCTATAAGGTAGGTAGAGATGTGAATAAAAATTAATATTGTATATATTAGGTGATATACATAGATATAACGGATATATAAACAAATATTTTCTAATTAATTACAAACTATAATCACCCAAACACTGCCTTTAAATTAACATGCTCTTATTAGTCCCAAGAAAAAAAAAAAGATCAAAGACAAAAAAAATTACAAAATTTTGAAAACCATTTTTGACGTGTTATAATTTACTGCTTCAGCAGAGGCTCATTCTTGTCTTCCCATTTATCCAAACGAGACCTTGCTTTCTCAACCTGAACATTAAATTTAAGTTTTAAAATTAATTCAATCGAATAAAACGAATTAGTAATTATTAATTACGCTAATCTAATTTTATTTTCCGAAGTTAATTAAAGATTAAGATTGTAAGATGACCTCCTTCTCCCAGTCTGTTCTGAACGTGACACACAACAAGATAAGAGTCTGCATAAGAGTTCCTCCTATCATTCCGGACCATATTCCCTGTACAAAAACAAATATGAATCGTTGACTGTTTTACTGGGTATTCTTGGTTTACGTATATCTATGTATATACATACACGCACACATACCTTGGCTCCGAGATCAAACTTGAAGCCGAGAAGACAACCTACAGGGATGCCAACGAGGTAGTAACATCCTATGTTTACATATGCCACAAATGCCTGCCATCCGCACCCAACGGCTACGCCTGAATTTGCCATGTATGTACGTATACGCACACGCATGTATAAAGTTATAATGATATATTTTAAAAACAAACATAAAATTCTGGTGTATGTATCACTCAATCAGATCATGAACAAGGGGTAATGATTTGAGATTGAGAAATATTATTCAATCCCACCATGCAGGTCAAAAGTTTGAGTAATAATCCGTACGGTATGATAAGATCAAGAAAAAGTAGCGGAATAAAAGAAGCATAAACACTACTATATGTATATATATATATATATATATAAAGCTTCCATCTTCTCTTTTGATGTATCTTTGGCGTCAAAATGCCATAGAAACAGTCATATAAAGAACCATAAAAACAAAGAAAAGTTTCAATCAACTTTTACTTAAAGGTTTTCTAATTAAAAACAGATTTTAACATCGTGATTATTAGGGTTCTTTATTTAAGATAATGACTAATCTTTTGTTACTGTTTATAGTAAAATTCACGTATTTACGGTATGGTAAAAAAAAAAAATGATTGAATAATATTTTACCAGATAAGACAGGTTGAATTCCATTGAGTATAACAGTAATGGCCAGATATGGGCAAAGCTCCGAGACTGCATCTGCGACAACTTTACCATCGGTGAAAGCGTAGCTAATAACACGGCGGAGGGCGAGAACGAGGACGGCTTCCGCCACGGCAATGATGGAAGAAACCAAAGTCACCACTGCTGCTGAAAAAGATGCCGACTTGGGATTTCCAGCTCCAAGCTCGTTGCTAATTCTTACACTGTTTTTTAAGTATAATTTTTAATAAATTAATTTAATATTTACTAGTAATAATGTAAAATTTTAATCAATGCATGCTGGTGTATAATATAATTACCTTGCGGCTGCGTTGAATCCAACTGAGACCATGAAGGACACAGCAGAAATGGCCATGCTGAACACCCCATGTGAATTAATTAATTAGTTGCATTAACAAAATTAAATTAAATTAAATTAATAATTGAAGAAATCAATGTTAATTAATTAGTCAATTTTTTGAAAATATTATATAAAATATAATTTAAATAATAAACAAAAAATTAAAATTACCCAATTTACCCTTTCACCTCCATTTTCTTACGTAGAGGGAAAAAAACAATTATATACATATATATATATATATATATATATCTGTTCCTCCACGTGCTTCACATTGGTTTTGTTATTATCAATGAGGTCAAACTCTTTTACAAAAAGTCAAATTTACAAGACTAAATTAATTATGATTAGTACATATATATTATGATTAGTAACAAGTTTTTTTTTTTAAAAAAAATTAAATTTAAAAAATTGAAAATTAACATATTAATGTGAAAAAAACTAATAATAATAATAATTAATAATTGATAAATAACAAATATTTTGAAAAATAAAAGAAAAAGTAGGCCGGTTATTTTGTCGAATTGTCTGCACCCAAGTAAAATGAATGGCTGACTTTTTAACTAATAAAGGAAAAAAGAATGATATCAAAATGTAAACTTTATGGCACTCCAAAAAAAAGAAAAGTTTATGCAAAAGTAAAATCAATTATGCTTTCTCAAAAGATATATATATATATACACACACACACATACATACATACATATATAAAAGCAAAAGAATATACTTGTATATATATATATATATATATTTTAAGATTATATATTGTGTATATTATTTTATTAATTTTATATCTAAAATTAATCAAATATATTTAACAAATAATAAGTCTTTTCAGAATCTTGCTTTTTAATTAATATAAATCATGTTTATATATATATATATAATCATTATTCAACATTAAAAAATTAGAAAATATACATGTTAAGTAACTTTATTTTGGGTTTTTATCAATTATATATGTAGACAAATATATATATATATATATGTGCAACGTGAAAAGTTATATGAATTCAAAAAAGTATGAATCCTATTACTACTACCATATGATTGATATATATATATATATATATAATATTAAGCACTATACCAAGATCATGATCGACAATAATTTGATCCCAGATCATACCACTTATAACATTAATCGTGCTTGAAAATTAATTGAAGTGTATCGAAGGCTAACAAAAATTTTATTATATATATATATATATTATAATATTAGAGTGATTATTAAGTACATCTTATATAGAAAATATATTCGTGATCTATATAATTATAATGTACGTGATCATAAAATTACATGCACATTCATTAGAGTAGTTCAATATGCATTTCTTCTATTAAATGTATGTAATAATAACTGGAAATTTATATTAATAAATATAAATTAATATTATATTACTTAGCCTAACATACAACACCTTATATATACACACACACACACACCCATATATATACTCCAATTATTGTTGATCATGATTTTATACAATAATAATAATATCAATGATAATACTAATGATAATTATAGTAATAATAAATTGGGAAAATGTGACATTAGAAGTAATTAACACCATGGTCATGATAATCCAAATCACTTAATAAACTTCCAAATATATAGTTTTCATATATATATATATATACCCAAATATGTGTGTACATATTGTTTGGTTAACTACATATTATGATTTAGTTTTTTAAAATCAAAATTAATGTAGTTTATCACACTATATAATATATATATATATAAAGTTATAAACCGTATAGATTCCTTAAGCAAAATATGGGGTAAAAAAAAAAAATTACCCACTTACCCTAATTATTTACTTAAACCGATTATAAAAAGAAAAGAAATTTACCGTTTGACTAAATTAAAAATTAAAAGAAAACTTACCAAATGGAAAGAGAATCCAAAGCGAGCTCCGGGTTCTTGAGCAATCCAGTTATCAAAACCAGTAACTGAGTATACCAAGTTTCCAAACACAGCATTACAGCCGACGCAGCCGACATCTTAAAGAATTCCCACAGCCCATCGAACGCCTTCAAGCTCAGTCCGGTCCAAGTCAATCTGCACCGTGGGCTCACCACTATGTACAACATCTGAGCCACCACCACCACCCACCACGACAGGCTCAGCACCAGCGACACGCCCAACAAGCCCAGACCCATTTTATACACCGCCACCCAGCTCAGCACCAGGTGCGCTCCCAGCGTCGCCGCTGAAATATACGCGCTCGGCGCCACAATGCTCTGCGCTTGTAAGAATTTTTGTATCGGGAAGTTGACGGCGTACGCGAAGATCTGTGGTATTAGCCCGCAGACGAATATTGCCGCATTTGATGCGACGTCGTTTGGTTCCCCGAGTAAGGTTAATATGGGTTTTGATAAGATGTAGACGACGGTCATCGGGATTCCGGTCAACGTAAGTACAATCGTTGACCTTTGTAGATACACTCCGAGCATTTCGTATCTGTGCGCGCCGTAAGCTTGTCCGCATAATGTCTCAACTGCACTCCCCATCCCCAGCTGCAAAAACACCACATGTACACGTAAATATATGTACGTATCATTGATGAAGGGGGGGAAGGAAGAGAGGAAATGTGGGTGAAATGTACCATGAGGCCGTAGGAGAAGAAGCTGATTCCGCTGGTGCCGAGCGAGGCGGCAGCGAGCTCGAGATTACCGAGGCGACCGCAGAACATTCTGGTGGACAAGAACATGGTGTTATTTAGAAGGTAGACGAGGACCGCGGGAGCAGCCAAGTGAAAGAGGATGTTGAGTTCGATAGATGAAGCCAAATGCAGACGCTTCAAGAATGGCAACTGGGAATCGTTCAAGACTGTTTCCAGTCTAAAATCCACTTCGTGAACCATTTGCCGGCGGTTACCGCCGCCGTCTTGTCGTTGCAGGTGCTGCTTGGAGCAGCTCAACATTGGTTCGTGGAGATTTTCTGATTGGTTGCTCTCCATGATCTGTTTGCGTAATTTGGTCGTGGGTATTACAGTGGGCAGTGTAGTGTAGTGTAGTGATAGCCTCACACCAAGAACCAGTTTATATATTATATGGAACAATTCACTGTAAATAATTAAATTATTTTTCTTCTGAAATTAAAGGGTGAGTAAATAAGATTAATTTATGATCAGTAAAAAAAAGATATTATGAATTATTTCAATAAGTTCAGTGTATTTTTACATGTTTAGAATCTTTATATGTTTTAAACGTTTAAATTACAATTTATAAATTATACTACTTAATATATATATATATATGTGTGTGTGTG